CTAACTTCTGCATGAACTTTGTGAAAGCAAATGGTAAATAAATAAATAAGTAAGTAAGTTTCCTGGAGGAGCCCTATATAGCCTCTCAGTCTCCCCTGAACTTTTGCTGAGTTAACAGCTCCCTTTGGAGCTCATTAATGCTCTGGCATCCACACTCGGCGATGGTCATGAGCAGAACCAATGCAGACATTGCACTATGCTTAAAACGGGCAATAAACTGGAATGTGTTTATTTATTACAATTATGTACAGTATATCCTGCTTCCACAAATTCTTCTAAGGCAGCTTACAAGTGACATTAAACAACAATAACATATTATAAAGTTGCCAGAATCCTTCCCACGGGGCAGTTGATGGCAGGTCATCCTGTTAGTGCCAGTACTAACCAGCTAACTGAAAATTGGGTTCCTGGCATATTGAGAACATCACCAACCATTTCAGAGAAGTCATTTGTAACAAAAACAGTAAACCTAGCATTTTACAGCCCTGATTTCATTTTCTGAGCAGTCCCTTGGGAAGAAGCGCCATAAAAAGAAAAGGTGCAGGAAGATTCCCCCAGAGATCCTTCAACGGAAGGATGCAAAAAGTTGCAGAAAACATTTTTTTAAAATAAAAAAAATCCACTGTTCAGAATTTTAAAATACTTTTGAATGAAAGAGGAACTAGAAAAGAAAAGAAAATGTCCCTTGGATTCCAGCACTGTTTATGAAATAATAATTTAAAAAGGAAGCAATTTCAAGAGAAATGGCAGATCCCACCTTTCTAAGATCATTGGACAATGGGGACAGAGAGAATCCCCAAGATTCATTGTGGTGTGATGGTTAGTTTGGACAAGGACGTGGGAGACCAGAGTTCAAATCTCCACTCAGCCATGAAGTTCACTGGGTGACTTTGGGCCAGTCTATGTCTCTCAGTCACAGGGTTGTTAGGAGGAGAAGACGGGGAGGGGTACATATGGAGGACCTTGTGTGATCCCTTGAGTTCTGTGGAGGCAAGAAGCATAAAATCATAGAATTGTAGAGTTGGAAGGGTTGGACCCCTGGGCAGTTAAATCCAGTCAAAGGCGACTACGGGGTTGTGGCGCTCATCTTACTTTCAGGCCGAGGGAGCTGGCTTTTGTCCATAGACAGCTTTCCGGGTCGTGGCCAGCATGACTAAACTCCTTCTGGTGCAATGGGACACCGTGACGGAAACCAGAGTGCACGGAAACACCGTTTACTTTCCCGCTGCAGCAGTACCTATTTATCTATTTGCACTGGTGTGCTTTCGAACTGCGGAAGCTGGGACTGAGCAATGGGAGCTCACCCCATCACGGGGATTCGAACTGCTGACTTTCTGAACGTCAAGCCCAAGAGGCTCGGTGGTTTAGACCACAGCGCCACCCATGCTCAAGGGTCACGTAGTCCAACCCCATGCAATGCAGGAATCTCATCCTTCATCCAGAGCATCCAAGCAACTGACATTTAAAAAACATTGCACCATAGAAAATAAAAAAAGAAAAAATTGTATAAAGTATTGACATCCCATGCAACCTATAAAAAACAAAACCACACTCCAATATAAATTTAATTTTTTTAAGTCGGTAAGTATATCCTGGGGGGGAGGTGTCATGTCAGGACAACAATGGTGGCATCTTTGTGCCCTAGAGATGCAGCCAGGCAGCTGAAACCAGTGGGGGCAAAAAAAATTCACTGAAAGGGAGACCTTCAGCTACCTTGCATTTAAAGCTAGGACATCTCCCCTCCTCCCTCATGAAAATTTGACTGATGTAACGCAGGTGGTGCTGTGGTCTAAACTACTAAGCCTCTTGGGCTTGCAGTTCAGAAGTCTGCGGTTCGGATCCCAGCGACGGGGTGAGCTCCCGTTGCTATGTCCCAGCTCCTGCCAACCTAGCAGTTTGACAGCACGCCAAAAAAAGTGCAAGTAGATAAATAGGTACCGCTCTGGCAGGAAGGTAAACGGCATTTATATATAGGTAAAGGTAAAGGGACTGCTGACCGTTAGGTCCAGTCGTGGCTGACTCTGGGGTTGCGGCGCTCATCTCACTTCATTGGCCGAGGGAGCCGGCATACAGCTTCCGGGTCACGACTAAGCCGCTTCTGGCGAACCAGAGCAGCGCACAGAAACGCCGTTTACCTTCCCGCCAGAGTGGTACCTATTTATCTACTTGCACTTTGAAGTGCTTTCGAACTGCTAGGTGGGCAGGAGCAGGGACCGAGCAACAGGAGCTCACCCCGTCGTGGGAATTCGAACTGCTGACCTTCTGATAGGCAAGTACTAGGCTCTGTGGTTTAACCCACAGCACCACCCATGTCCCTCTGTATAACTATACTGGTGTTAATAAAACAATCCCTTTAGTAAACAGTTATTGCAGTGCAAGTCTTTTACAATGTTTGATTTAAAAACCGGACCAATTCAAGATTCCATTATTAGCTTATAAATAATTTGTCGTACTGTATTTTACCCATGCTTTTGAGCACCAGCCTGAAAAGTCCCCTTCAATGACAAAAAAACTACTCAGCATCCGTTGCTGTGTCACTACTGTATTAGTCTGACTCAGTGCAAACATAATAATAGCGGTATAATATAGGTCAGCTTACATAATCCTAGACCTATAAAAAGTAGCAGATGAGAAGCAGAAGATGAAAAAGTTATTTACACACGGATGAATTAAGCTGTAAAAAGACTTTTCATCTAACCAAACCTAGGGTCAACAGCTTATTACCAATAGGAAGGCCTGTTAACAGATTGTAAAAATATAATAAAATAGATGAACATCAGATAAATGCACTGATGCTGTTCAGCTGAGCTTGAGAATTTAAAGTGCAAGAACGTTTCACACATTTTGTTCCAGAAAACAGGAAACTTTGAGGGGAAGCGTTAAGATAACTGAGAGGGGTTAAGTCAAGACACTTCATTTTAATTGTTAAGACTGCCAAAGGCTCTTTAAGTAAAGGTAATCTTGAATTTGAAATAAAAGAATATTTGAAATTTTGGGTGATCAGTGAAGCAGCAGTGACCTGGCTTATTCTTTTGAGGTCCTCTGATAGTTGGAGTATTATATTTAATTGTAACCAGTGCATTCAAACTGTTAAAACATTTATGTTTTAGCAGAGATCAGCAAACCTTTTCAGCAGGGGGCCGGTCTACTGTCCTTCAGACCTTGTTGGGTGCCAGACTAGATTTTGGAAAAAACTATGAATGAATTCCTATGCCCCACAAATAACCCAGAGATGCATTTTAAATAAAAGGACACATTCTACTCACGTAAAAACACGCTGATTCCCAGACCGTCTGCAAGCCAGATTTAGAAGGCGGTTGGGTCGGATCCGGCCCCTGGGCCTTAGTTTGCCTATCCATGTTTTAGAGGAACGTGCCCTAGGAACAACTGGCATCTGATGCTCACCTGATTGGCAAACTGAAAAACCCTGAGTTTTTGTGGGTGGACGAGTCAGTGAGATTGCACACTCCATGAATCTCTGAGGTCTGCTAAGTGCTGATGGGATCAGCCCCTACAAGTGCCCCTATCTTCCAGCGACAGTCCCAGATTTATTGAAGCCGTCCCAGTTTCTGATTTGATCCAGGAATATCCCGAATTTTCTTAGGACATCCCTATTTCATCAGAGAAATGTTGGAGGGTAGGGAGTTATGCAACCCCTGAGCCAAGGAGGTAAGAAACTATATAACCTTTAGAAGACATCTATACTACTTTTGGGAGACATCTGTCTAGGGAAGTTTTTTCAATGTTTAACATTTTCTTCCATTTTTGTATATGTTGGAAGCTGCTCAGAGTGGCTGGGGCAACCCGGTCAGATGGGTGCGGTACAAATAATAAAATTATTACTATTACTATTACTATTACTATTACTATTACTATTACTATTATGGAATAAAAGTAAAGGGAACCCTGCCCATTAGGTCCATTCGCGGACAACTCTGGGGTTGTGGGGCTCATCTCGCTTTATTGGCCAAGGGAGCCGGTGTACAGCTTCCGGGTCAAGTGGCCAGCATGACTAAGCCGCTTCTGGCGAACCAGAGCAGCACATGGAAACGCCTTTTACCTTCCCGCCAGACCTATTTCTCTACTTGCACTTTGACGTGCTTTTGAACTGCTAGGTTAGCAGGAGCAGGGACCAAGCAATGGGAGCTCACCCCGTCACGGGGATTCGAACCGCCGACCTTCCAATCGGCAAGCCCTAGGCTTAGTGGTTTAGACCACAGCGCCACCCGTGTCCTGTTCCTATTATGGAATAGGACGTCCCTATTTTCATCAGAGAAATGTTGGTGGGGATGTGAGATCCCTTTGTGAGGAGGTTAGATTACCCTCTTCACAGGTGAAGGGTGGAATTTGTTTCCACTGCAATGCAGAACTTGCTTTTATCTGATAGAATGAAGGTTGGAAAATGTAAAATAATGCACCTGGGCAAAACCTGCTAAATTAGGCCATTTAATTTCTCTCATATTATCCCTGAGAATTAGCACAAGTAACTGCATGAGGTTTCCTGTTTATCTGCATTGCTCACTCCAGGATTCACTTTGACGGTCACACTTGAGTGTGATCGGATCTTAAGACGTGCCTTCTATGTGCCTTCACAGATGTGCATGTTTACTTTGTGAAACTGCAGTATGTAGAGCCCTTGACTACCAATGGATGTATACTAATGCAATGCAATGAACAGTTACTAGAGATACAGTGTAGATACCATCACATTCTCCCTTGCTTTTAAAAAATACAAACCTTTCTAGTTTATTGTGATTGATAATGGTCTGATTCCCTGGAGGCAGAAATATTCCAGGCATACAAATGCATCCAGACATTGCCAACATAGTATTCACTTGCTTAGTTTGATCGGTTTAATGTTCATTGCAGAATTTTGTTTCCAGGCAAAATATACACTTTGCTTTGAAGGGCACCCAATCCTTCTAACAATGAGTTGTTTTTTAAGGCAATGAAATGTAAAATATCTCAAACATCTGTACCAATGTTTTGGTAACTTCCTCCCCAGAGTTCTTTCTCCTCCTTCCGGTTCAAAATTCACAGTTTCTGCTGTAACTCCTGATTCCTCACAATCTGTAATAAAACCCAAGTGTGTTTATGTTTTTCCTCACATTCATCCTGGCTGCCGCCCCAGCCTCTTCTAAGTGCCTCCTCTCGTACCCTACTTCCAGCTCAGTCAAAATTTGATGGGGAAAGGAGCTGCAAAATGCCTGCAAAAAAAAAGTACGTCATTGGTGTTGCACATGCGCACACACACACACACACACACACACAATTTTTATATATTACCGTACTTTTCTGTGTATAAGACAAGTATTTTTTACTGTAAAATGTTTAAAAACTTGGGTCATCTTATACACAGGTAGTGCATGTGGGGGACATGTGATTGGTTGCAGCTGTGAGCAGGAGCTTGTCAGCTCAACAACTCCGGGCCATCTCCCCCCATTTTCTTAAATTTGAGTCCCCCAAAATAGGGGTAGTCTTATTCACGGGGGCATGTTATACACGGGAAAATACGGTAATTACTTCTTTACAAATTAGTACTGTTTACAAGTAGTACTAATTACTTGTTTACAAGGCAGAGTTATTAAGCTCACACTTCTTTAATCAGCAGAAAAGCTGAATGTGAGTGTTTTGTTTTTCACACCCGGGAGACATGTTTATTTTAAAAAAATAAAAAGTACAATGGAACAAATTTTTGATAATATAATGGCTTTATGTGCAGGGCTGAGGGTGAGTTTGTGGCAATACTCAGTGGTACATAGTACCAGCTCCTCTTCTTTTTGCTGCCCATTTTACTGGCACCTTCCACACTTTTAGCAATATATGGATACCAGCAGCACAATCTTTACACACACACACACACACACACACACACACACACACTTTCTCTCTCCCATTTATCGTACTGCAACCTGGGCTCACCCAATGAAATGAATGGTGGCAGTTTGAGGGCAGACAAAAAGCTTAGTATTTCACACTGTATACTTTTAAATTTTGTTTACTTTATAAAAATGTCTTGTAAAATCAAATAGTTGTTTATGTGTTTGGCATCTGGCGGGAGGGCGTTCCACAGGGAGGGTGCCACTACCGAGAAGGCCCTCTGCCTGGTTCCCTGTAACCTCGCTTCTCACAATGAGGGAACCTCCATGCAACAATATTATATGTGGCACACCTTTAGTCAGCTTGGCGTGGGGTTTTGTTTAAATTAAACATGTGTTTCTGAATTAATAATTGTTTCCATAACTTCTCCGTCCTTTGCTTTTTGCAGTTTTGGTTAAGGATACCCCCTTTTGTAGCCCCATGTTTTATTTATTTATTATTAGTTTGTTATCTACCACCTTTATCTTGCAGCGATTTGCAATGAGAAGGCCTGCATGCTGAGACATTGGTTCATATAGTTGGCACCTAAAGCACCTGGCTAGATCAGTTGGTTAGAACATTGGTGCTGATAATGCCAAGGTTGCAGGTTTGATCCCCATATGAGACGCGGGTGGCGCTGTGGTCTAAACCACTGAGCCTCTTGGGCTTGACATTTGGAAATTCAGCAGTTCCAATCCCCGTGACGGGGTGAGCTCCCATTGCTCGGTCCCAGCTTCCACAGTTTGAAAGCACACCAGTGCAAGTAGATAAATAGGTACTGCTGTGGCGAGAAGGTAAACAGCGTTTCCATGTGCTCTGGTTTCTGTCACAGTGCTCCATTGCTCCAGAAGCGGTTTAGTCCTGCTGGCCACATGACCCAGAAAGCTGTCTGTGGACAAACGCTGGCTCCCTTGGCCTGAAAGCGAGATGAGCACTGCAACCCTAGAGTCATCTTTGACTGGACTTAGCTATCCAGGGGTTCTTTACCTTTTACCTTTACCTGCATTGCAGGAGGTTGGACTAGATGATGCTCAGGGCCCCTTCCAACTCTGCAATTCTATGATATTGTTAAAAAAGGTAAAGGGACCCCTGACCATTAGGTCCAGTCGTGACCGACTCTGGGGTTGCGGCACTCATCTTGCTTTACTGGCCAAGGGAGTTAGTGTACACCTTCCAGGTCATGTGGCCAGCATGACTAAGCTGCTTCTGGTGAACCAGAGCAGCGCACGGAAACGCTGTTTACCTTCCCGCTGGAGCAGTACCTATTTATCTACTTGCACTTTGACATGCTTTCGAACTGCTAGGTTGGCAGGAGCAGGGACTGAGCAACGGGAGCTCACCCTGTTGCGGAGATTCGAACTGCCGACCTTCTGATCGGCAAGTCCTAGGCTCTGTGGTTTAACCCACAGTGCCACCTGCATCCCATGATTTTGTTACAACCTCACAAATTCTCCAAGGTTGAGTGTGTGCAGATCGCCAAATGTCTCAGCCAGGCCTTAGCAACAATATTCACAAGGAGCCAGCATAGAAGAAATGGTTGGTTGCTGCTTTTGTAGGAAGGCTGTGTGGTGGAAGAGATCTTGTGGGGTCAGAGGGCAGTTATATGAAAGCATATGGTGTTCACCTGTGGCTTCTGGGGGAAGAAGAGAAGATTTAGCCCATGGATCATTCGATTCCTGATGCCCAGGATTCTTCTAAACGGGCCTGGAGCAGGTAGCACCTCACTTTTTCAGCAGTTGACAGTCACTTCCTTCCTGCCCTTTTCTTCCAAGTGGCAAATCCATTCATCTGCAGCATCTGAAAAAAAGAAAATGGCTTTGGGAAATTCTCCTTAGTCGAGGTAATCTTAACAAGACAAACTGCTTTTCTTTCCAGAGTGCAATGAAAGCAACCTCTTCATTCCCCAACCCTGCTTTGATTGACACAAAATGGTTTCCAAGCACTAGTGTGGCTGTTAAAAGATTAATTTTAATGGCTGAGAATAATAATAATAATAAAAAGCATGGCTCCCAGATATGCTATAAATCAGTCGAGTAACAGGTTTTCAAAATAGCTAAATATAAAAGCTGCGTACATGGATAAACAAACAATTTCTCTTGAAAAGGCATGGCCTGCACTTGGTGGATTTTATGCAAAATGCTCATCTGGGAATCCCTGCTAATGTTTGCCATTGTTGCTTCATTCATCTTTTACTGCGCCAGATTTATTAAGTTCTATTCTAATCTGCTTTTCGTGAAACAGTCCAGTTTTTATGTTGTCTCGTGGGTATTGTTTTCTAGTACTAGAAAGGATCATTGCATTTCAGGGGGTTGGGCTAGATGACCCTCAGGCATCTCTCCCAAATCCACAATTCTATGTTTTCAGGTTTGTGCATCGCATGT